CTGAGGAGGAGGAGGAGGAGGAGAAGGAGGAGGAGGAGGAGGGGGAGGAGAGGGAGGTGGGGGGACGGAGGAGGAGGAGGGAGGAGGAGGAGGAGGAGGAGGAGGAGGACGGAGGCGAGAGGAGGGGGAGGAGAGGAGGAGGAGGAGGAGGAGGAGGAGGAGGAGGAGGAGGAGGAAGAGGATGAGGGAGGAGGTGGAGGAGGACGAGGGAGGAGGGAGAGGAGAGATGGAGGAGGAGCGAGGAGGATGGACGAGGCGAGGACGAGGACGAGGACGAGGACGAGGACCGAGGACGTTAGGAGAGGAGGACGACGAGTGAGGAGGAGAAGGGGAGGAGAGCAGGAGGAGGCAAGAGGAGGACGAGGGTGTGGAGTCGGAGGACGAAGGAGGGGGAGGAAGAGGAGGAGGAGGCGGAGGAGGAGGAGTAGGGAGGAGAGGAAGAGGAGGAGGAGGCGGAGTACGAGGAGGAGAAGGAGGTGGAAAGGGGAGTGGAGGCGGAGGAAGGAGGAGAGAGGAGGGGGAAGGAGGCAAAAGGGGGGAGGAGGAGGAGAGCATGAGGAGGAGGAGAGAGGGGACGGGAGGAGCGGGGAGGAGGAGGAGGAGGAGGAGGAGGAGGAGGAGGAGCGAGGAGGAGGAGGAGGAGGGAGAAGAGGAGGAGGGAGGAGGAGGAGCAGGAGTGAGTGGAGAAGGATGAGGAGGACGTCCTGTTGTTGCGGCCACCGGGGCACTCTGCCCATGCGCTGCGCGCGGGGATCGTTCCGACCTGCTTCTTTGTCGCAGCACCGCCGAGCGCGAGGCTGAGGAGCGAGGAGGAGGAGGAGGAAGGAGGGGGAGGAGAGGGAGGAGGGGAGGAAGAGAGGAGAAGGAGGAGGAGGAGGAGGAGGAGGAAGAAGAAGAGGACGAGGGAGGAGGCGGAGGACGAGGGAGGAGGCGGAGGACGAGGGAGGAGGAGGAGGAGGAGGAGGAGGAGGAGGAGGAGGAGGAGGGGGAGGAGAGGGAGGAGGAGGAGGAGGAGGAGGAGGAGGGAGGAGGACGTTTTAAACAGGTGCAAGAGTTTCACGAATTGAGGGCGGGTGGTTTCCAAAATGTTGTTCTCGCTCTAGCGCCGCGCACATTCGTTCTAAACATGTGCAAGAGCTTCACGGATTGAGCGCGGGTGGTTTTCAAAAGGTTGGTATCGCTTTAGCGCCGCGCACATTCTTTCTAATAAATCGCAAGAGCTTCACTGATTGAGGGCGGGTTGTTTTCAGAATGTGGTTCCCGAATTAGTGCCGCGCCTATTCCTTTTAAAAGTTTGCACGAGCTTCACGGATTGAGGGCGAGTGGTTTTCAAAATGTGGTTCTCGCTTTAGCGCCACACACACACACATTCGTTTTAAACAATTGCAAGAGCTTCACGGATGTAGGGCTGGTGAGTTTCAACATGCGGTTCTCGCTTTAGCCCCGCGCACATTCGTTGAAAAAGATTGCAAGAGCGTCGCGGATGTAGGGCGGGTGATTTTCAAAATGCGGTTCTCGCTTTAGCCCCGCGCACATTCGTTGAACAGCTTGCAAGAGCTTCACGAAATGAGGGCGGCTCCTTTTCAAAATGTGGTTTTCGCCCCGCACATTCGTTGTAATAAATTGCAAGAGTTTCACGGATTCCCTTGATCCGCGTACTTACCAGAATATTGTGCTGGAAGGATTCAAGATTATGCGGGTGCAACAGTTATGTTGGCTCGCGATGCTGAAGATCCAAAAAGCGGCGTTCTGGCACGATTCCAGATCGTCAGGACGCAGCAGTCAGGTTGACCCGTGGTGTGGGAATCCCGCGAACAATGCTTTGGCCTGCTTCAGTGTCTTCGAACGGTTGTCTTCCAACGAGGCAGTTCCCTCAATGGACATGAACCGCTGTATGGGGCCTATGAAGAGGGAGCTTGGAGGGAAGGTGAATTCCGACATCGTTGATCGCTCCTGGGTTTACACTGGTCCTCCTCCTCCTCCGCCTTCGGCCCTCCTGCCCCAGGCTGGCCGAGGGTGCCTGTAGAGACGCTCGGCCCTGCATACACACTTTCACGCAGGGGCCCACCGCGTTCAAGTGCACCTCGGATCAGCCTCAGAAGCGCACTTGCCTTTTGTTGTACCTCCCTCCTTCCCCTCCTCGCAGCCGGGAGTTGATCCATCGTTTTGTGGCCACGCGCGGCCCCAGTGGACGGCAAAGACAAAGGACGTTGTGTAGTCGGACCGAGGTACCAGATCGAGGCCCGTTCGGGGAGGGTACCCTAGTGTTCTTCGTGTTTGTTGGATGTTCTTGTGCATCTTGGGGAGGGTACCCTTGGATGTTCTGTCTGTATTGGCCGACGGATGGTCTCATGTTCTTGAAGGATGCTCTTCTGGCCTAGGTCCGACTGTACGGCGAAGGTTGCCGGACTGAGACAGCACTGATCGGGAGCTGACACATTTTTCCAGGGCGCGCTGAGCGATGCGCACGTTGGCAATCGGCATTGCAAGCTCGGTAGCATGTGCCATGTCTGGGGCAAACTGCAAGCCATGATGTTTGTAGATGAGGTATTCCAAAATGGGCCTCGCCTTCGAGGCGGAAGGAGCTCCTGGCCAAAGTCACGTTTCCATTGGTCATGGTCTTCATCACGGGCGAGGAACAGACAATCACGACCTTTGCGTTGAGGGAATTGCCGCTGGCGCCCCCCGAGGCCGACCCCGACCCCCCCGGCGGTGATGACCCGCGCGCGGCGCTCGATTCCGAGTGTCGCGCACGGGTCATCACCGCTAGGCGGTCGGGATCGGCCCTGCAGGGGGTGCCAGCTGCGACTCCCTAAGCCAAGCCGTTGTCGTTGTCTCTCCTTCGCTCCTAACCTTAGCCACTGCAAGGGTGACACCGTCGTCCACGTCGGACGGACTTTCGGCCACCAGGAGGAGGCCTAACCATCAGCGAGGGTTGAGGCCCAGCATGGACCTAGGGTTCTTGTAAGTCGGGCAGGAGGCCATGCTGTTCAAGCTTGCTCTTGGCATCGCTGCGTTGGCCAAAAAGGCGCTGTTACCCTTGGCATCAGCAGGCGGCATCCCAACGCGTGTGCCATGTTCGCCTTGTACAAGGCGGTCGGCACCATCGACCTGAAACCACGCGTGTTCGAGGGGCTCTTCGGCCATCGTCTTGGGGCGCTTGTTGTCGAGCGAACCCAGCAGAGGCGGCGAGGCGAGCAGACGAGAGACCACCCCACCCGAACTGCGGGGGGGGGTCTTTCGTGTCAGGGACCAGCTGGGCACTCCCTGCGGGACAGATGCTCATGGCGAATTGCCGCACAGCCTGTTAGAAGATCGCTGAAGTGCAGGAGCGCGACATGTCTTGACGCCTTGCACACTTGGACGAAAGTCCGGGCCATGACAGCGCCCTGCTCGGCGCATCGCTTTGCCATGCCGCCGACCTGCACATCGCCGACGAGCAATGTAAATCGGAAAAGCAGCGCAAAGAGGTACGCATGACGGTGTTTGAAGATATGGGAGCCAGGCAAGATATGGCGGTATGTAGTGATGCAGAATGTGTTGCCCTTTGTCCGTCCCCCATGTAAGAATAGGGGGCTCTTGGGCTCGAAGCGCCATCTCGGCATATATGGTGCGCAGGCGAGAGTCGAACGCGTCGGGGGCCAGGCGGGAGACATCGTCGCTCACGTGATCGTGCTTGGTGCCGCGGCCTTTCTTACCCTTCGGCGTTCGTAACCATGATGGTCCAATAAATGCTGTCCGGGGAGGGGCTTTGGACTCGTTGTACGATTGGCAGACATGCCCAACTGAAACAAGTAGGGCATGTTCAACCCCAGCAATGGCTTGCAGCGTATCTTGCGCGAGGGCAGTACGAGACCCAAGGACATTCAGGTTGGGATCCTTTCGGATCTGTCAAGCATTCGTGTTCACATTGCTTATCTGTCCTCGCTAGCCCCCGACCTTTCGGAGACTACCTGGCACCGCACACTGAGCCTTGCAGTGTGGGTATTAAGTTGGCCTGCGAGATCATTCAGGAAGGCAGTTTTGGCCAGCGCGGGAAACCTGAGGATGAGCGGCATCGGTTCACGCAAGAAGCCCACCGTGGTCGCAACCACGGTGGCAAAAAAAGTGGTATGAGCAGGATCACGGTAAGCATCAGAGGCGAAAGCGATGTGGAAAAGAATTGAGATCCAAAGGTCGAGGGATTGAAGAGAAGGGGGCCATTGCTCACAAAGGGACTGCATGAGCAGGCGTGTAGGCATGGCTTTCGTCTGACTATAAGTTGCGAAGGCTTCTGATTGCTGACGACAGATGATAGTCTGCAGGAGCTTTGGGGTAACATTACTCCTCCTCATCCTCCTCATCATCAGAGTGAGGGGGGCTATCGGTCTTACGCAGTCCCCGGGTGCGTGGCTGAAGTGGGATTCCGCGGTGCTGATTTGTCCTGTTTGTTTGTTTGTTGGTGTCGTCGTTCCGCCCGCGCCCCGCCCGCGACCCATCCCACGACACGCCCCCGACCCACTTGCAACATTCCCGCGCCAAACCCCGCGACCCACCCGCGACCCGCCCACGACCCACCCTGTGACCCACCCGTGACCCACTTGCGACCCACCCGCGACCCGCCTTGCGACCCGCCCGCGACCCGTCGGCGACCTGGCGACCCACCCGCGACCTGGCGACCCACCTGGGCGCCCCTCTCACTCTTACCCGCATTTGCTGGTGATTTGGTCCTCCTCTTATTCCTCCTCCTGCTCCTCATGGTCCTTTTCCTATTCCTCTTCATCCTAAAGAAGATCTCACTCTGCATCATCATCATAATCCGCTTCCCCCTCCACGTCATCATTATCCAGCACAGTGCCGTTTTTTATACTTGCTCCGCGTGCGGGTCATGTATGGCAAATGCAGGGAAATTATATTACAATCAACGATGAGTTCATGCATACATTTACAAATTGATCAGGTGTAAAACATTATATATGTTTAAACATCATATGTATTAAAATCTGCCCTGTATTACCATTGCAATTCGTCCCGAGCGATGTCTTACGGGACGGCTCCGTGTCTCTCCGCCCAGCCAGGCCAGCAGCGCCAGCGTGAGCAACCCTTCGCGGTGTGAGGGTATATGCTTCGGACATTGCACCGCATGCGTGTTGAAATCGCAGCCGATCGTTTTCAAGCTCCCCAGTAGTTCGAACACATTATCACCAGCAGGTGTCAGCATCGAGAGCCAGAAGCAGCTGCTCTGAGCTCATCGAGCGTATGGTGCAGACGCTCGAGTATGCTCCAAAACAGCCAGGCTTCAGAACCAGAGTCGCGGCTCTCACGTCTGACATACGGAGCCATGGAAACACGAAGCAGTGGGCTGTGGCCTTGAACTTGTTCGCATGCGCGTCGCAGACGCTGGTGCAAAAGAACACGATCCTGTACAACGCGCTCATCAGCACATTGGGAAAGGGCGGGCAGTGGCAGCAGGCGTTAGTGCTGCTCGGCGAGATATCGCGATCGGAGTTGCAGCCAGATGCAATCTCTCCTACATGGCCAGTGGATCTGCGTGCGAGAATGGTTCACAGGGCCTCGTGTGCACAAAATCGCCTCGTGTGCCACCACGGGGCCGAATCGCTCAGGCTGGTCCCAGAGGCGCTCCAGAGGGGTTTCCAGACCGTCCAAGAGCGCTCCAAGACGGCCTCAGTGGGCCCCAAGACGGCCCACGAGGGCCCGAAGCCTTCCGGGGGGGCTCCACGACGAACCGAGAGGCCGCAAAGACGCCCCAAGAGGGCCCCAAGCGCACGCGAAAGAGGCACAAATCATCAAATTCCGATGGGAAAACATATATGTTCAGCATGCCCGCCTTGTGTGCTCCTCAGCGGCCCAGGACACGCCAAGAGGCCTCCCAAATCGCCCCAAGAACACGCCATCGGCCCCTCAGAGGGCTCCAAGACGGCCCACAAGAGCCCCAAGACGACGCCAGAGAGCCCTGAAACGGCCTCGCAGAACCACAAGACGGCCCCAAGATAGCTCCGAGGGGGCCCCAAGAGGCTCCCAAAATGGCCTCAGGCAGCCTCAAGCGAGCTCCAAGACGGTCCAAGGCCTCCCAGACGCCCGGTGACGGCCCAAAAAAGCCCCAAAACGCTCCCAGAGCAGCCAACAAAAGCTTCAGAATGGCCCGAAAAAGACCCCCCCCCACAAGGACCACCAAGCAGGCCCAGAGACGCCCACTAAAAGAGCGATCGGTGAAGTACAAAGCTCTTCTCACCAAGGCTCCCAAGAGCGAGACGCAGCGTAGAGAGGTCTCCCAGGCACAGCTCCCAAGAGCGAGCGGTGATGTCGGGACACCCTTCCGAGCTCTCACACAGGAGCACGCACGCACAGCACGCAAGCACAATGGATTTCCTGGGCTGTCCCCGGGAAGAGGCTCGGGGGGACAGCCCGGGAACGGCCCCACAGGCGCCCAACAAAAACTTCAAGAGAAAAGGCTCCCAGGAGGCCACAAGACGGCCCAAGAGGGCCCCGAGAGGCCCCTAGGAGGCCGCAAGACAACCAGCGAGGCCCCAACAGGCCCCCAGGAGCTCGAAAAGAAGCCCCGAGGGGCCCACTAACCGTTCCCAGGGAGACGCCGGCGCCCGCCATCCGGCTTCGAAGAGGCAACCAGAAAAAAGGCACCAGAGCCCTCCGGGTGACTTTTGTCAAGGCCCCAGGTGCATTCAAAACTGACCAGCGGCGAGACGTGCACTGCAGACCCACCCTAATAGCCGTCTGAGACGCTCCGAAGGCTGTCTGGGCGGAGGTGGAGCCGAAGGCGGGCGAAGAGAAGGAAGCGGTCCAAGAGGGCCCCCGAGACGGCCCAAGACCGCTCGAAGACGCTCCAGGCGAGCCGCGGCAAACGAAGTCATTGATTCTTCTATGGTTTCTGAAAGACTTCCACCTTCTCGCCATTTCGAGCGAAGACAGGCCCAAGACGGCCTTTTCGAGCCAAGACTGGCCCAAGATGACGTGGACGAAGCTTACGGGTTCGCCCTAGTCAGCTACAATTCAGGAATTAGCGCGTGCGAGAAAGGGGAGCAGTGGCAGCAAGCGTTGTCGTTGTTAGGCGAGTTGGGGCAGACCGCTGCTGGACCAGATCTCATCAGCTACAGTGCTGCCATCAGCGCGTGCGAGAAAAGCGGACAGTGGCATCGGGCGTTGGTGTTGCTCGGCCAGATTTGGCATGCGAATATTGAACCGAACATCGTTATCTACGGTGCTTCAATTAGCGCATGCGAGAAGGGTGGGCAGTGGCAGCAGGCTTTGTCGTTGCTCGACGAGTTGGGACGAATAAAGCTGAGTGCGAACATAATAACCTTCAGTGCTGCTATTAGCGCATGCGAGAAGTGCAGCCAGTGGCGGCACGCGCTATCCTTGTTCAACTGGATACAGAAAGCGGGGTTGCAGCCGAATCTGATAAGCTACAACGCCGCAATCAGCGCGTGCGAGAAAAGTGAACAGTGGCAGCAGGCACTGGTATTGCTCAGCCAGCTGCGCCAGGCGAAGCTCAGTCCGAACATTATAAGTTGTAACGCTGCTATGAGCGCTTGTGAGAAAGGCGGGCAGTGGCAGCAGGCAGTGTCGTTACTGGGCGAGTTGACAAGGTTGAGCTTGCAGCCAGACGTAATCAGCTGCAACGCCGCAATCAGCGCTTGTGGGAAAGATGGATGGTGGCGGCAGGCGCTGACGCTGCTCGGCGAGCTGCGGCTATTACAATACATCCCGGATGTTATCAGCTACGGTGCTGCAATTAGCGCTTGTGAGAAGAGTGGACAGTGGCAGCAGGCGCTTGATTTGTACAGGGAGTTGCCGCAAGCGAAAGTGAATGCGAATGTAATTTGCTTGACTGCCGCGATCAGCGCATGTGAGGAAGGCGGGCAGTGGCAGCAGGCCGTGTCGCTATTGAGAGAGATTGAGAGAGGCATCGCATGCGAAACTCTATAGGAACACCATCTCTACTACAATGCAGCGTTCACCGCTCGCCAAATAGTTAAGCAGTGGCCGCGGGCCGGCCCCTCCAGAGCCCTTCCTGGGCGCCCCAGCAAGCTCTGGTCGACTCCAGCGCGGCTCCGAGGCTGCCCCAGGCCGCTCCGAGACGCTCCGAGATGCCTCTCCGGAGGCGCCCTCGCCTATAGCCCTACCAAACAATGTTCTGAGAACCTTTTGTGGTTTCCACGAAATGTTCTTAGAACACATATGTTTTATATTGTCTTGTTTTAACACATCAGGTTTATGTTCTAACAACATTGTTTTTGTTCTGGGAGCATTTTTGGGTTCTTAGAACATTTCGTGGTATGACTATAGGAATGCCGGGACGGTCGGTCCCTGCTCAACTAGTGGTAGGCACGGTGGTTGCAGCTCGGGACACCTGCCGTCTTCCTCCTCCTCCTCCTCCTCCTCCTCTTCCTCCTCCTCCTCCTCCTCCTCCTCCTCCTCATCCTTCTCCTCCTCCTCCTCGTCCTCCTCCACGCCTGGTATCCACGGCGCTGCACCCACAACGCTCCCGGAGGGGGTAGGAGGGGGGAGGTAGAACGAAGAGGAGGGCTAGGCGGAGGAGGACCAGCGCAAACCCAAGACGCATCCACGATGCTGAAAGAAACCCTCCCTCCAAGCTCCTTCTACACAGGGCCCTGCAAAATGCACTTCCATTGCGGGAAGTGCCGAATTGAAAGATAGCCGTCTGAGAACCTTCAACATTGCCAGAGCACTATTCCTGGGACGTCAACGCCGCGAATCACCGAGACTGGTGTGTCCTGACACTGCGAACCGCGCCAGAACATCATTCATTCGCCAACACCGCGAATGACATGACTGCTGCGTTTCGACATTCCTAAGTCGTGCCAGAGCACCAATCGTGCCAGAGCACCAATCCTGGGACTTCAACCCTACGAACCCTTGAAGTGCGGCAAACGTTGAAGACGAATGTGGGCGGAGCTGAGGCGAAAGCCTTTGAAGCTGCTGAAAACTGTGAAGACGAATGTGCGCGGCGCTGCGGCGAGAGCCAGATGTTGAAAACCAGCCGCCATCCGCCCTCGAAGCTGTTTCAAACTCTGGGGCGACCGTGCGCGGCGCGACTGCGAGAGCCACACTTCGAAAATGACCAGCCTTCCATCCTCGAACTGCTGTAAACGCCAAGCCTCAGGATGAGGAGGACGAGGACGAGGAAGAGGACGAGGACGAGGACGAGGACGAGGACGAGGAGGAGGAGGAGGAGGAGGGAGGAGGAGGAGGAGGAGGAGGAGGAAGAGGAAGGAGGAGAAGAAAGAGAAGGGAGGCGGATGAGGAGGGATGAGGAGGACGAGGGAAGGAAGAGGAGGAGGAGGAGGATGAGGAGGACGAGGAGGAGGAGGAGGAGGAGGAGGAGGCGAGGCGGAGGAGGCGGAATAGGCGGCGGAGCTCGCAGCCACCGTTGCCCCAGCCGCCCTCCAGCCGACGCCCCGCGGCAGCCACCCTGGCCTCGGGCGCCCCGACTGGCTCGCGGCGCAGGCTTGGCGCGAGAGGCTCTCACCGAGCGCGTCCCACAGCTCGCAAAGTGTCGACTCGCAAACGTCCAGAAAACAAGTGTTGTCCGATGCAGTGGAGCTTGCTTGCCTCGACGCAATGGATCCAGGCCATTTGCGAGTAGCTGCTCTGCGGGCAGCGGAACGCGCTTGTCTGGGCTTCGGGGGGAACGTCGGGCCAGGAGCACTGCGGGCGCAGCAGGCCCAAACCTCCGAGGACGTAATTTGTCCCAACTCTCCCGCGCTGGATTCTCGCTCTTGGTACGCAGCACCGCAGTCGCACACTCCTCGTCCCGCCTCCCTCCTCTCCTCCCTCCTGCCGCTCACCTCCTCTTCCCTGTCCTGCCTGCCAGCCTGCCGCCTACCCCGCTGTCGTACGTTAGCTTGCCATCCCGTTGGGGCGGCGATCTGCGAAACCGTTGCCACTGTCGGGGGCTGCTGGGGGGGTCCAGCGGAGCGACGCGCTGCGCAGATTTAGATTAGACCTCGCCATCCTTGGGTGGCTGCGATCTGCGAAACTGCCGCCACTTTCCGAGGGCCGCTGGGGGGGTCCAGCTGAACGACGTCCTACGTACGCGGACTCGGGTTAGCTTTGATGTCCGTTCCCAAGGGCGCCCAGCGATCTGGCGGCGCGCCCGAGGGCGTTCGGCTCCCGCGTGGCAGGGAAAGAATCGGAGAACCTGGTGGGCGCGTTCGGCCTCTCTCTTTTCTGGCTGCACTCACGATGAGCAGCTGATCCTCTGTCGAGCGCCAGAGCGACGTGGCGCGGGCAGCGCGGCCTGTCCAGCACGCCACCGGGCAATTCTCGCCACCCCCCTTCCTCATCCTACCTCGTTCGTTGTCGTCCTCTTTCTCTCCGCACCGTCTCGCTGCTGTTGTCACATCAACTGTTGGGTCCCTGCTCCGTCCGTGTCCTGCCCCTCGCTCCCGCCCCCATATGTCCTCCTCGACCTTGGGGCATTAGTCCTCGTCCTTGTGTTGCTGTCTTGTGAGCCGTGCTACGCCCGCGCTTCCCGTATAGCCTGCACAACCAATGACAGACCCTGCATCGTCCTCAGCCATTCTATTCGGAGCCAGTTCTTTTTGTCACTCTAGCAAGATTGCCCATCGGCCGCTGAAAGTAGGTATTCGGGGATGCCCAGAACCCACTCTACTTCAAGCGCCTTCCCACTCGGCTGCTGTTTGCTATTATGTGGGCGGGACCGAGCCCATTCTGCTCTATCCGCTTTCCTACTTCACGTTTCGACCCCCCTACTTCTCCCCGCTGGCGTGCCGTTGGGTGCGTCGCAGGGTCATCTCCATCCCGGCGCTCTCCTCCAGTTCGCCCTCCGGAGTAAGCCCACAGGGACCGTACCCAGAGCTCGCAAATCTCCTGAGCACACTGAACGCAGCAGCTCCTTCAACAGCTGCGGAAGTCACCGCGCAGCGCGAGGCACAAAGAAGCCCAGGATACCCTGACTAGCCAAGGTGGCTGGGGACAGCAGCCCGCCTCGTGGTTCCGGGCAGGCAGCGCGGTCCGGCGGAAGGGTTCGCCCTCCGGGGCCCGTTCCGAGACGGAGCCGGGGTGCAACGCCGGCCCCGGGGACGGCGTCGGGGGCGGAGCTTTCCGGGGAACCGCGCGCTGGAGAGGCGCGCCCCGCGGGGGGGGGGGGGGGCGGGGGGGCAGCGCGGGCGGAGGCAGGCCGCCGCGGGAGGCGGCGGGGCGCCTCGGAGGCCTTTTTCCGCCGCCCTGTGGAGAGGCCGCGCGCGGCCTCGGGGAAGGCTCGGGAAGCCTGTCGCCGAAGAAGAGGAAAAGGGCAGGTCAGGTCAAGCGAGAACAGGAGAGGGTTGGAATCGAAAGGTCTTCGAACGAGCGCTCCCGTGTTTGGACCCCGCTTTGTACAACATGTTCTCCGCGCAACTGAACGACGAGACGCGTGAAAGTAAAGTGCACTCACACAAAATTGAACGACGTGACGCGTGAAAGTGCACGACGGGAAAAGGACATGCGCACAAAACTTTTGGCGCTCCGCGCGGAGTTCTTGGGCCCGCGCTGGACCCCCCCCCCCTGGCGGCGCCTCCGGTGCCGCCGCCCCTGGCGCGCCCCGCGCGCCGGGGAGGGGGGGGCCGGCGCAGGTCCAAGAGAACTCCGCGCGGAGCGCCAAAAAGTTGAGGTGCATGCCCAGACATGATCGCGTCGTAAAAAAATCAGGACGGAGGTTTTTCAGGATTTTCGGCCTCTAGAGGCCCTCGCTGGGCCTCGAGACCGTCAAAAAACGACTCAGGATGAAAAACCGGCCCCAGGGAAAGGGTCTGGACTTCGGGGACGCCGTCCTGAAAAAATCAGGACGTCGCATGTCTGGGTGCCGTTCTGTCTGCTTCTACTTCAGAGGGCCAGAGGCCTCCTGCGCCCTCAGAGAAGGCCCGCCGGCCCCTCGGCTGGCTTCCCATCCTGGGTCGTTCTGTCGACGTGCCCCCGCGGCCCGGCGATGGCCGTCGGAGGGCGGGAGCGGCGAAACAAACGACTTCCGCACCGAGCTGTCCAGCTCCTCGGATGGCTGGGCTCGGCGGCCCCCGAGGAACAGGGCAGCGTCAGTGGGGGGGTAGGCTCAGGGGGGACGCGCCGCCCCCTAGTCGCCCCCTGGTCGCCGGTGGAAGCGGAGCGTGCGGGTGCGCCGTCTGGGTCCTGCAATGGAGGCCCATGCCGAGAAACACCATGCCTGCCCCCAGGGTGCCCTGGGTTTCTGGGGTGTCGATGGTCTTGCGACGGAGAGCGCGACGCTCCCACGCCAGAAGTCCGTGGACACCCTGGCGTCTCAGGGCTGGGCTTCTCGTGGAGGGCTTCTCGCGGACCGGCCTCCACTGCATGGCCCATCCGTCCGTGATGCACCGCCGATTCCAGCTCGATGCTTTCCACGCTGAGGAGGCGGAGGAGGAGGAGGAGGACAAGGAGGAGGAGGAGGAGGAGGAGGAGGAGGAGCAGGAGAGGGAGGAGCAGGAGAGGGAGGAGGAGGAGGAGGAGGAGGGGAGGAGGAGGAGGAGGAGGAGGAGCAGGAGAGGGAGGAGAGGAGGGGGAGGAGGAGGAGGAGGAGGAGGGAGGAGGAGGAGGAGGGAGGAGCAGGAGGAGGAGGAGGAGGAGGAGGAGGAGGGGGCCTGGCGCCCCCTCTGCCCCTCAGACTGAGAGCCGGCCAGCGCCCTCCCGCGCGCGCGCGCCGCCACCGCCGCGGGCCGCCATGGGCGCCCAGCCCTCGCCGAGGCGGGCTGCCTCGCCGGCGCAGCCGCGCCGCGCGCGAGCCGGCGAGCGCGAGCGGTGGCCTGGCGCGCGTCGTCGGCAGCCCGCAGGCCCTCCGCGGCCCCCGGCGGCCCCCGGCGGCCTTCCGCGGCGGCCCCCGGCGGCCTTCCGCGGCGGCCTTCCGCTGCGGCCCTCGGCGGCCCTCGGCGGCCCTCGGCGGCCCTCGGCGGCCTTCGGCGGCCCCCGGCGGCCCCCGGCGGCCTTCGGCGCCCGCGGACGGTGGCGAACGGCTGCGGCGCCGCCGCCGCCGTCGTTTATGGGCGTCTCCGGGCGTCTCTGAGGGTTTTCGTCGCCACGGCCAGGCGGGCTGGCAGGGACACCAGGGAGTGGCCCTGGGACCGGAGTCGAGGGGACTCTGGTCGGACGCCGACGACGACGCCGACGACGACGACGGCGACAACGACGGCGACGACGACGACGACGACGACGACGACGACGACGACGACGGCGACGGCGACGGCGACGGCGGCGGCGGCGGCGGCGGCGGCGGCTGCAGGCGCCCGCCCCGCCAGAGCCGCGGGGGGGCCCAGAACCCCCCGCGCGGCAGCACGCCGCCGAGCCCGGAGGCGCCGCGGCCGAGGCCGCGGCCGCGAGGGCCGATGCGGCTCTGCAGTTCGACGCGGTGGTGTTGCAGGACGCACGACGCCGACGCCGACGCTGACGACGACGCCGACGGCGACAACGATCGCGACGACGCCGACGATCGCGACGACGCCGACGATCGCGACGACGCCGACGACAACGACGACGACGACGACAACGACGCCGACGATCGCGACGACGCCGCCGCCGACGACGACGACGACGACGATCGCGACGACGCCGACGACGACGATCGCGACGATGCCGACGACGTCGACGAAGACGACGACGACAACGACACCGACGACGATGACGACGGCGACGACGACGGCGACGACGACGACGACGGCGACGACGACAGCAACGACGCCGACGATGACGGCGGCGATGGCGACGAAGGCGGCGGCGACGACGACGACGACGGCGGCGACGACGACGACGGCGGCGACGATGACGACCGACGACGGCGACGACGACGACCGACGACGGCGACGACGACAACCGACGACGGCGACGACGGCGACGACGGCGACGGCGACGGCGACGACGACGACGACGGACGACGGCGGCGGTGGTGCTAAAGGACGCACCACCCCAAGAGCAGTGACCCCCTGAAGTCCCTAAAAGGTCCCTGAAGGCTCCCCATCCTGAAAGGCCCACCTGAAGCGCCTCTTGAAGGGCATCGCCCCCTGCAGGAGCCCCCGGGAGGGGCACCGCCACCTGAAGGGGAGCCCCTGGAGGGCCTCCTGAAGGGACCGCCTTGAACCTCCTCCCCCGAGATCTCGGCGATGCATGCTTTCACACCACGTTCTTTTCGCCCCGTCTCAGGCCCTGGGACCATCACAGATCGATGCGGCTCAAAACATGCAGCAGAAAGATGGGGTCGATGGCTCCTGTCGTGTTTGTCGCGATGTTGCATGTTTTCATGACGTCGGATCTCAGGGTCTCCGCATCTTGGCCAAATCACTACGAGGCCCCTGGCGTTTTACGTTTGCGTGGGTTCCCAGATGCTTCCCGGCATCGGGATGCTTTCCGGCAGCTGCGCCTCGCCCAGAGCGTTCCGGATCGTTCAGAACGGTCGCCAGAAGCCCGAGTAACGTTTTGAAAACCAAGCATCCTCGCGTCGTGGACAGAAGAAAAATCATGACCTC